CAGATGACATGATACTACACGTAGAGAATCCTAAAGATGGTATCAGAAAACTACTAGAGCTAATCAATGAATTTGGTAAACTAGTAGGATACAAAATTAATGCACAGAAATCTCTTGCATTCCTATACACCAATGATGAAGAATCTGAAAGAGAAATTAAGGAAACACTCCCATTTACCATTGCAACAAAAAGAAAAAAAAACCTGGGAGTAAAGCTACCTAAGCAGACAAAAGACCTGTATGCAGAAAACTGTAAGGCACTGATGAAAGCAATTAAAGATGATGCAAACATTTGGAGAGATATACCATGTTCTTGGGTTGGAAGGACCATCATTGTGAAAATGACTATACTACCCAAAGCAATCTACAGATTCAATGTAATCCCTATCAAACTACCAATGGCATTTTTCACAGAATGAGAACAAAAAATTTCACAATTTGTATGGAAACACAAAAGACCCCGAATAGACAAAGCAATATTGAGAAAGAAAAACAGAACTGGAGGAATCAGACTCCCAGACTTCAGACTATATTACAAAGCTACAGTAATCAAGACAGTATGGTACTGGCACAAAAACAGAAATATAGATCAATGGAAGAGAACAGACAGCCCAGAGATAAACCCACACACATATGGTCACCTTATTTTTGATAAAGGAGGCAAGAATGTACAATGGAGAAAAGACAGCCTCTTCAGTAAGTGGTGCTGGGAAAACTGGACAGCTACATGTAAAAGAATGAAATTAGAACACTCCCTACCACCATACAGAAAAATAAACTCAAAATGGATTAAAGAGCTAAATATAAGGCCAGAAACTGTCAAACTCTTAGAGGGAAACATAGGCAGATCACTCTATGACATATATCACAGCAAGATCCTTTTTGACCCACCTCCTAGAGAATGGAAATAAGAACAAAAATAAACAAATGAGACCTAATGAAACTTAAAAGCTTTTGCACAGCAAAGGAAAACATAAACAGGACCAAAAGACAACCCTCAGAATGATGAGAAAATATTTGGAAATGAAGCAACTGACAAAGGATTAATCTCCAAAATTTACAAGCAGCTCATGCAGCTCAATATCAAAAAAACAAACAACCCATTCCAAAAATGGGCAGAAGACATAAATCGACATTTCTCCAAAGAAGATATACAGATTGCCAACAAACATATGAAAGGATGCTCAACATCCCTAATCATTAGAGAAGTGCAAATCCAGAGTACAGTGAGGTGTCACCTCACAGCAGTCACAATGGCCATCATCAAAAAATCTAGAAACGATAAATGCTGGAGAGGGTGTAGAGAAAACGGAACACTCTTGCACTGTTGGTTGGAATGTAAGTTGATACAGCCACTATGGAAAACAGTATGGAGGTTCCTTAAAAACCTAAAAATAGAACTACCATACGACCCAACAATTCCACTACTGGGCATATACCCTGAGAAGGCCATAAGTCAAAAAGAGTCATGTAACACAATTTTCATAGCAGCTCCATTTACAATAGCCAGGACATGGAAGCAACCTTAGTGTCCACTGACAGATGAATGGATAAAGAAGATGTGGCACATATATACAATGGAATATTACTCAGCCATAAAAGGAAACGAAATTGAGTTATTTTTAGTGAGGTGGATGGACCTAGAGTCTGTCATACAGAGTGAAGTAAGTCAGAACGAGAAAAACAAATACCATATGCTAACACATATATATGGAATCTAAAAAAAAAAAGGTTCTGAAGAATCTAGGGGCAGGAAAGGAATAAAGATGCAGACGTAGAGAATGGACTTGAGGACACGGGGAGGGGGAAGGGTAAAGCTGGGACGAAGTGAGAGAGTGGCATGAATATACATACATTACCAAATGTAAAATTGATAGCTAGTGATAGCAGCCGCATAGAACAGGGAGGTCAGCTCAGTGCTTTGTGACCTCCTAGAGGAGTGGGATAGGGAGGATTGGAGGGAGATGCAAGAGAGCAGGGATATTGGGTTGTATGTATATATATAGCTGATTCACTTTGTTATAAAGCAGAAACTAACACACCATTGTAAAGCAGTTATACTCCAATAAAGATGTTTGAAAAAAATTCACTCAATATGTTCAAAGCATTTTCTTTTTCTATTTATTTCCATTTTATTTTCCTCAGAGAATCTTTGTCTATATCATGCTGCATATATTTTATATGTAACAGTGCATCCTACATGATATGACATACACTTCTTTAAAATGCAAGTAATAGAAGTAAATGACATTAAAGAATGTTTAGCTGCTAAAAATCCAAATTTGGGGGGCTTTTTTCCTTTAGGATTTTCATGCACCAAACTAAATAGGCCTAAGATCAATAATGGTAATTAAAAAGTAATAGGATGACTTCCCTGGTGGTGCAGTGGTTAAGAATACACCTGCCAATGCAGGGGACACGGGTTCGAGCTCTGGTCCGGGGAGATCCCACATGCCGTGGAACAACTAAGCCTGTGCACCACAAGTACTGAGCCTGAGCTCTACAGCCTGTGAGCCACAACTACTGAGCCCTCATGCCACAACTACTGAAGCCCACACACCTAGAGGTCGTGCTTCATAAGAAGAGAGGCCACTGTGATGAGAAGCCCACCCACAGCGACGAAGAGTAGCCCCCGCTCGCCGCAACTAGAGAAAGCCTGCCCGCAGCAACACAGACACAATGCAGCCAAAATAAATAAATAAATAAATATTTTAAAAGTAATAGGAAAGAAGTTCTGGTAAGACGTTGCTTCTGTAAATGTTTGAAAATCTAGAGCATTTTCTTGTTCTTTATTCTTTTCAGCCTTTTCTCCTCAAGAAAGTATTTGCTTTTCCTTCCATCTTATTCAATTGTGACAATGTATTTTTTAAAAGTTGATAACTTTCAAATTTTAGGCAAAACTTTTATGGCAATTTCCAATTAAACTTGTCATAGCTGTTGACATTGCTACATGCATTATTTCAATCAATGAGTTAGTCAAGGAAAAATGGCAAGTATATTATAAAACTTGCTGGACCCTCTTTACAAACTCCTGTTACTATCTTTGAAAAGCCTAGTATTTTGCTACTCAAATGCCGCTAGATACAAAAGAAGACAGAGCTGTTATATTTTTACGAAGGCTGATTTGTTTTGGTAAATGATTTTAACTTAAATTCTTAATATCCTGGATGTTGCTTTATTGCCATTTTCTTTCTGATAACTGAAGTTCTCTCACATAATTCTGCCTGTTTCAAGTCAGAAGGGGTATATTTTAAATGGCCTTGTAGTATTAGAAATATGTGCTACTATTCATGAAAGGCAAGAAAAATGGCAGTGGATAAATGTGAACCTATTTGAGAAACTAGAAGGACTCAGAGCCCAAGTCCTGCGGTGTCTAGTTGAAGGAGAGATTATCCAATCTGCTGCACATAAACAATCCTGGACAAAGTTCCATTTGCATATGCTACGTGAATTTTTGGAAAGAAGGAAGTATATGATCAGAAGGAGCTAGTGTCATGCGTGGAAAGTTCAGTGGACTTGGGATCAGAAAACTTATAACTGTCGGCATACCTCTTTCTACATCACCTTAGACAACTTAATGTCTCTCAGCCTCATTTTTGTCATATACAAAACAGTAGTGCCTCTACCTCCTAAATTGGACAGCTTATGGTACACTGCCTCACAGATATTTGATATATTGTTATATGTGAAAATGATTCAAGAAGGAGTTATAAAAACATTAAAAATTGTTCTAATAGAAATTCATCACTTCAATCTCATTAAAAAATAGTTGGCATTGTTCAGTCAAATCTCTTAAAGATTTTTCTTCCTTATAACTGCAGAATGAGGTGCCATAAAGTTTGGCTAGTGTTACGCTGGGTTTAGTGATGCCAAGGCGTTGTCCCTGCCTTAGGTGGTTCTGAAATACTTAAAACTATGAATTTCTCAGAGACCAGTGTTTGTTTTCAGTTTTCCCCAAACTTGAACGATATCTGAATCTCACTGCAAGGAAAATATCTCCTCAGACCCAAGGTGATGATATTTTTTTAATGGCTAGTTAAATAAGCACAATCATAAAAGCTAAGAATAAACTTCTCATCTTCATAGCTCTTACACACCTATAAAACTGAGACATATTTACAAATTAAATAAAACCATATTCACATAGCCAATAAAATTCAAATTCACAATATTAATTTCATATTCAACATGGCTATACTACTTTGTGTCTTGTGGCAACTCAATTTCTTACAGCTTTTCTCCATTCGAACTTCTGTGAAATTTTAAATTAGACTGTGTGACATAATTTGGTTTATGCTTGGCTCAAATGCATTATTTTAATACTCAGTATACCTCCCTTTTTCCATGAATCCACAACTAAAATATCATACAATTAATAAAATTGTGTGACATGGCTTAGTTCCAGAGTATTTCATCTAGTTGATCCAGAATGTGATTATAATTTTGTAGATCATGAAAATGGAAAAACACAAAATAAACATTTCCTAGAGAAAATTTGCAGACCCACAATAATATATCTCTGGCCTGCCAAGAGTTCACAGATTGTCATTTGAAATACTATGACAGACAGTAATGGTTTAATTGTGTAAACTTAAGAAACATGTACTACTTGTTTCGGAAACTGCTTCAAAACATCAGGGCATTATTTAGCTTTCTATGGCTTCATAATGTCATCTATCAAAATAACAGAGAACAAGTGATTTCTGTTCCCTCCTCTGTCTCATGTTTGGTAGCCACCCTGCAGATAAAACCTTTTCTCTCCACCTTGACTCACAATATCCCACAGCAGTTACACCTTGTACTGTAACACATTACAAAGATTTAAATTACACAAATTTTCTGCTTTTAATTGCAGCCCTCCTCTCTCACTACGAAGTTGACCATATAAAACCTGTGTAAATCTGAGTAATGAGAATGAGAAACAGCGACTAAACTATGCTCAGAAGCATCCCTCTCTTTGATGACTAAGGACTAAAGAAGTAAAATCTTGTGGGTCTGACCTGACATCCTCTTCAAAGTGAGTTTTCTTTCTCAGAAGGTGATTCAGTCTATCCTGCAAATCGACCCTGCGGGCTGGTCTCACCGGTCTTCCAGATATGCCCAGGCATATTTGAATCCTAGGAAGAATACAATGTTGATCAACTGGGTCCCCATCTTTCACAAGAGAAAGAAGAGGTACTTAACTGTTGCTGCATTTTGGAAAACCAACTATTGTGTTACATACTAACACAGGTGACTGACTCCCTGGGATGATTCATGGTCTCTCCTAGAAAATTGTTTGAATAGAAAAATGCAATGGGGATACCTCTAAGAATTCCTAAGTACACTGATATTCCAGAAACATCCATAAGCTAGGTTCCTGCCCCCCAGTCTTTGACTTTGTGTCTGCCATGCAGCATGTTAGGTCGTATGTAATCAGTGTTCTCTCTAATCCATTCTTGTGTGTTTCTGGGTAACTCCTTTAGACCACCTGCTCTGTCTCCTTGTTTTAAAAAAATGTTTATTTTATATTGGAGTATAGTTGACTTACAATGTTGTGTTAGTTTCAGGTGTACAGCAAACTGATTCAGTTATACATATATCTTTTTCAAATTCTTTTCCCATTTAGGTTATTACAGAATACTGAGTAGAGTTCCCTCTGCTATACAGTAGGTACTGATCGGTTATCTATTTTAAATATAGTAGTGTGTATAATGTCAATCCAAATCTCCCAATTTATCCTTCCCTCTGCCCTTCCCCTTTGGTAACCATAAGTTTGTTTTCTATGTCTGTGAGTCTGTTTCTGTTTTGTAAATAAGTTCATTTGTATCATTATTTTAGATTCCTCATATAAGTGATATCATATGATATTTGTCTTTCTCTGTCTGACTTACTTCACTTAGTGATAGTCTCCAGGTCCATCCATCTTGTTGCAAATGGCATTGTTTCATTCTTTTTAATGGCTGAGTAATATTCCATTCTATATATGTACCGTATCTTCTTACCCACTCATCTGTCGATGGACATTTATGTTGCTTCCACGTCCTGGCTCTTGTAAATAGTGCTGCAATGAACATTGGGGTGCATGTATCCTTTCAAACCATGACTTTCTCTGGATATATGCCCAGGAGTGGGATTGCTGGATTACATGATAGCTTGATTTTTAGTTTTTTAAGGAACCTGTACCAATTTACATTCTCACCAACAGGGTAGGAGGGTTCCCTTTTCTCCACACCCTCTCCAGCATTTATTGTTTGTAGATTTTTTTGATATGGCCATTCAGATTGGTGTGAGGTGGTACTTCATTACAGTTTTGATTTGCATTTCTTGAATAATTAGCAATGTTAAGCATCTTTTCATGTGCCTCTTGGCCATCTGTATGTCTTCTTTGGAGAAATGTCTATTTAGGTCTTCTGCCCATTTTTTGATTAGGTTGTTTGTCTTTTGATATTGAGCTTTATGAGCTGTTTGTAAATTTTAGAAATTAATCCATTGTCAGTCACATCATTTGCTAAAATTTACTCCCATTGTGTGGGTTGCCTTTTTGTTTTGTTTATGGTTTGCTTTGCTGTGCAAAAGCTTCTGAGTTTGATTAGGTCCCATTTGTTTATTCTTGTTTTTATTTCCATTACTCTAGGAGTCAGATCGAAAAAAGATATTGTTGTGATTTATAGTCAGAGTGTTCTTCCTATGTTTTCCTCTAAGAGTTTCATAGTATTAGGTCTTGTATTTAGGTCTTTTAGCCATTTTGAGTTTACTTTTGGTTACGATGTTAAGGAATGTTCTAATTTCATTCTGTTACATGTAGCTGTCCAGTTTTCCTAGCACCATTTATTGAAGAGACTGTCTTTCCTCCATTGTGTAGTCTTACCACCTTTGTTGTAGATTAATTGACCATAGGTGCATAGGTTTATCTCTGGGCTTTCTATCCATCTATATTTCTGTTTTTGTGCCAGGACCATACTGTTTTGATGACTGTAGCTTTATAGTATAGTCTGAAGTCAGGGAGCCTGATTCCTCCAGCTCCATTTTTCTTTCTCAAGATTGCTTTGGCTATTCGGGGTCTTTTGCGTCTCCATACAAATTTTAAGATTTTTTGTTCTAGTTCTGTGAAAAATACCATTGGTAATTTGATAGGGATTGCATTGAATCTGTAGATCACATTGGGTAATATAGTCATTTTTACAATATTGATTCTTCCAATCCAAGAATATGGTATATCTTTCCATCTGTTTGTGTCATCTTTGATTTCTTTCATCAGCATCTTACAGTTTTCGGAGTACAGGTTTTTTGCCTCCTTAGGTAGGTTTATTCCTATGTAGTTTATTCTTTTTGATGCAATGGTAAATGTGATTGTTTCCTTAATTTCTTTCTAATCTTTCGTTGTTAGTGTATAGAAATGCAACAGATTTCTGTGTATTAATTTTGTATCCTGCAACTTTACTGAATTCATTGATGAGCTGTAGTAGTTTTCTGGTAGCATCTTTAGGACTTTCTATGTATAGTATGTCATCTGCAAACAGTGACAGTTTTACTTCTTCTTTTCCAATTTGGATTCCCTTTATTTCTTTTTCTTCACCTATTGCTGTGGCTAGGACTTCTAAAACTATGTTGAATAAAAGTGGCGAGAGTGGATCATCCTTGTCTTGTTCCTGATCTTAGAGGAAATGCTTTCAGCTTTTCACTGTTGAGTATGATGTTAGCTGTAGGTTTGTCACATATGGCCTTTATTATGTTGAGGTATGTTCCCTCTAGGCCCACTTTCTGGAGAGTTTATAGTCATAAATGGGTGCTAAATTTGTCAAAAGCTTTTTCTGCATCTATTGAGATGATCATACGCTTTTTATTCTTCAATTTGTTGATGTGGTGCATCACACTGATTGATTTGCGGATACTGAAAAATTCTTGCATCCCTGGGATAAATCACACTTGATCATGGTGTATGATCCTTTTAATGTGCTGTTGGATTCTGTTTGCTAGTATTTTGTTCAGGATTTTTGCATCTATGTTCACCAGTGATATTGGCCTGTAATTTTCCTTTTTTTGTGGTATCTTTATGTGGTTTTGGTATCAGGGTGATGGTGGCCTCATAGAATGAGTTTGGGAGTGTTCCTTCCTCTGCAGTTTTTGGAATATTTTCAGAAGGATAGGTGTTAACTCTCCTCTAAATGTTTGATAGAATTCGTCTCTAAAGGCCCTGGGGTACTGGACTCCCAGCACGGGAGCCTACAGCCCGTTGGGTGGGGCTGGGTCCTGGTGAGAAAATGGCAGGCTCCAGGAGGGCTCATGACAATGAGTATCCCACAGAACTACTGCCACCAGTGTCTTTGTCCCCAGAGTGAGCCACAGCTGCCCCCCCCCACCTCCACAGGAGATCCTCCAATACCAGCAGGTAGGTCTGACCCAGGCTCAGGAGGTCACTGCTTTTTCCCCTGGGTCCTGGTGCACACAAGACTCTGTGTGTACCCTCCAAGAGTGGAGTTTCTGTTTCCCCCAGTCCTTAGGAATTCCTGTGATCAAACCCTGTTGGCCTTCAAAGCCAGATGCTCTGGGGGCTCCTCCTGCAGATGCCAGATCCCCAGGCTGGGGAGCCTGATGTGGGGCTCAGAAGTTTCACTCATGTAGGAGAACCTCTGCAATATAATTCTTCTCCAGTTTGTCGGTCGCCCAACTGGCAGGTATGGGTTTTGATATTATCATGATTGTGTCCCTCCTACCATCTCTTTGTGGCTTCTTCTTTGTCTTTGGTTGTAGGATATCATTTTTGGTAACTCCCAGTGTTTTTTTGTCAGTGGTTGTTCAGCAGTTAGTTTTGATTTTGGTGTTTTCATGAGAAGAGGTGACCTCATGTCCTTCTACTCCATCATCTTGTCTCTGCGCTTGTCACTCTGTCTCCTTTTAATGCCCTAAACAGAAACTAGATAGACTTACTTACTTACTATTCTGCAGTATACCACATGCTATGTTCTGAATTTTTGTGTCCCCACCCCCCAAATTTATTTGTTGAAATCCTAACCCCCCAAAGGTGATGGTATTAGTAGGTTGGTACTTTTGGAGATGGTTACATCATGAGGGTGGATTTACCTGTAGCCCACCCCTTGGAAAGATTGAAGGAAAAGGTTTCAAACAAAAATAAATTGTTGAGAGTTGGAAAGAAATCTAATAGGTACCGAATACAGTATGCAATTTTGGTGCAAAGATGGCTTGCTGAGAGTGGTGAAATGAGTACTGAGCTAGGGCACAGGATGGCTGTACCATCCAGGAGAAAGCAATGGAGCAGGCCATAGTACAGTGTCCATAGAATGAGGTGGTGACCTTAGAAATTGTCATTCATTTAGCTCCTAATAGCTACGACATTGCTATGAAGTAGGCATTATTACACCAATTTTATAAGTAAAGAAAACACTCAAAATTTTAAGTTCTTTACCACTACCAGTAAGTGAAAGGAAAAGAGTGTCAATGTCTGCCTGTGCCAATGCCTGTTCTTTATACTCTACTGCTTAGAAGGCATCATCAAGGCCAGATGAGATTCAGTGAAGTGCTGGTAACAGAATGTCCATTGAGAAAATCCCAGTGGTGAGAGAATCTACAGCTAATGGTTGAGGAGGCTTATAGAACTGAACTTTAGTTCTGTTTCCAGATCTGTATATTCTCATAGACCATTTAGCTTATGCTTATGAATGAAGGATGCAGACTCCAGACTTAAGGGCTAAACAGGATATAAAGTATAATCATAATGCTAATTAAAGGCAGTATCTGTCATTTGATATACTCCCCAAAGCTTTGTTTTACACATCATGCTATTTCAACGTTGGTATTTTGAAAATCTGTATGTTCTACCACTACCACAGTTCCTCATAATTCAGCCTTCTGATTCACACATAATCACAGGCACTTTGCCTTGTTCTGAAAAACATACATCTAAAAAACGTGGGTTGGGCTTCCCTGGTGGCACAGTGGTTGAGAGTCCGCCTGCCGATGCAGGGGACACGGGTTCATGCCCCGGTCCGGGAAGATCCCACATGCCGCGGAGCGGCTGGGCCCGTGAGCCATGGCCGCTGAGCCTGCGCGTCCGGAGCCTGTGCTCCACAATGGGAGAGGCCAAAAAAGAAAGAGGCCCGTGTACCAAAAAAAAAAA